CAAATTAACTCAAGCAAAAGGAAAATATAATGGAAGGATACAGGGTTGTCTTGTGGAACCTGAGAGCAGAAGGCATAGCCGGGCCTCATTCATTCATTCAGTACTCATTATGTTCTCTGGTACTGAAGATAAAATGGTCAACTTTGACAGATGTAGTCCACATCTACACTAGACTATAAACATGAAAAGGGTAGGGGCTCTGGTTACACATTTGTAAAGTATCCAACATATTGATTGGGTGCTACAATGGTGAGCAAGTAGCTTTCTGCTTTCGGATGCTTTGTTGTTTTGAATGACCTCTCAGCAAAAGCCATATCTTGGCTTTATGTGACCATTCAGCTCTCACATCAACTAATTAAAATATCAGCTAATTATTCAAAATCCCCAGAGAGAGGATTATATTGCTAGCTTGATTCAAATGTCTTTTGTGACCCAATCAGCTACAGTTAAGGAGGTGGAGTCATATAGTACTAGTATAGAAGTTGGACCCAGTGGCTCAGTAGGGACTATGAGTAATGAACAATTCTCAGAGAAGGAATTTACACCCCAGATTATACATATATTTGAAATCCATTGTAATGCTTCCCTGAATCTCTTTCTATTATTTTTATTGTTTCTTATTTCCCTCTTGCCTCTAACTGTGGGATCTGTCCAAAGATCTCCCTTGACCATTTTTTTCTCCATACTCTTCCTCTTGAAATTTTGTGGCTGTGAGTATCACTGATAGTAAATGAATCTGAAATCTTTACTTCCATATCCTATCCAGTTCCTAATGCCTGCCTCACAAGTCTGTTTGGATTATAGACCTCTCCACTTGGATGCCTCACAGGTAAATGATAGCCATTTGTCCAGAACAGCACAGATCATCTGCCCACATTCCTCCATCTTATTGTCTTGGTATCAGTTCTCTCCTACTAATTGTGTGGCTCAAAACCTCGAGATTATCTTATGTCCACCCTCACAAATCTTCTCATATCCTGTTAGTCATCAAGCCCTATTGATTTAGCTTCCACCTAATCTCTCATATTCATTTACTCTTCCTTATTTGTACTGCCCAAACTGCAGTTCAGATGTTTATTACTTCTTACCTAAATTGTTGAAATAATTGCCCAGTGGTTTTCCAACAGTCATTCCTCATTTAAAACCATTCAACATAAGACTTTCGGTTTAATCATCCTAAAGTACAGGATAATCTCTTAACTCTTCTGCACAATAGTTCCTTCATACTTATTAAATAAAACTCAAACGTCTGTGCATAATATAGAATTAGCACCCACTGCAACTAAGAATATCTAAAATAGCAATGCCACTTAAATAAAAGTTTTTTCTCTGAATGTAATCAGTCCAGAGCTGGTATGGTGATCTGGGACCTAGGTTTCATCTAACTAGCTGCTCTGGTGCACGTGGCTCACATGTAAGGCCATCTCATGTTTATTGTGGTCCTGAAGCTCCAGCTATCACAGTCATGCTTCATGCAGCAGAACAGAGGAATGGCAGAGGGGCTTGTGCCCTTTTTTAAGTAAACGTCCCAGAATTACTAGCTGAATTTTACTTACATTTACTGGCTGAAACATAGACATACAGGCACACCTAACTGCAAGAAAGAATCTTTTCATAAGAAAAGGAGGAGAATAGACACTGATGTAGGCAGCTATAAATCTTTGCCATGGACCACCATTCAATGCCATTTATGTTTGTTCTCAACGCAGAATTTCCGTCTTCATTTCCTGTCTTGATTTTAAGCATTCTCTCTGTCTATGCTGGGTTAAAATTCTTATTTTTTCTCTTTGGTCCTATTTGTATTAGTTAGGGTAAATTTGAAACAACTATAGAAAGAGCCCTCTAATTTCAGTGGCTTATATAAGATAGAAATGTATTTATCTGACATAAGAAGTCAGTGGGTATAGGCTGACAGGACAGCTCTGCTTTTGGGGTCAGTGAGAAGCTCAGGACCTTCTTTATCTCATAGGATTTTGTACTCATCTGCCTAATCAAAGCTGATTCAGCACTATATTTGTGTTCCAGTCCACAGGAAGGAGAAAAAAAGCATCATTCTAGAGAAGATGGTATGTCTTTAAGTTAGAGGTGACCTGAAATTTGCATGTATTACATTTGCTCATATCCCACTAGCTTAGCCATGTGCCCGTATTTAGCAGCCAGAAAGACTGGGAAATATAGAGTAGCTAGGTGATCATGTGCCAAAGAAAAGGCAGAGAAAGAATTTTGGAAGGACAGCTGCTATTCTGTCATATTCCAGTTCCTCGCTATTCAAGTTATAGCTCAAGTGCCATTTCTGCAAAGAAGCTTTTTCTGAATCTTTAACCCCAAACAGTAATGCTTATAACTAACAGTTATCCAGCACTTGATATGTACTGGGAACCAGACTTTGTGTTCTGATTTGATACTTTTCAGAATTCTACAATATTTTGTCCTCATTTCCATATACAAAAAATGACAGTTCACACAGATTAAGTGATTAAACAAAGATTATATGACTAGGAACCATTGGAATCATGATTTCTACTTCTAAACTCCTACAGGATTTCATTTCATTTGTTTTTTTTTTTTTTAGTACATCTTTTTGTTGCATCTCATTTCCCTCCAGATTGGGAATTTTCTGAGGCTGAGTCTGATTTCTCCTTTAGTCCTCATTGTATATAGCAAAATATCTTGTGCGTAAGAAGCTTCTCTTAAATATTTACTGAACAAATGAGTTGTCAGATAAAAAAAAGTTTTGATAAATAGTTTAGGTAGGGTATTAATACAAAGTATATTTTCTTTATATGTAAAATTAGAATGATGCTCTTTATTTACTACCTGTTCCACAGGACTGCACTTATATACTTACAATACATTACATTTATTTTTGAAGAAAGTAGAATGTGTGAAGAAATAAATTGAGGTTGTTACACAAATTATCATACAATGATACACAAAAAACTCCTAAGAAGCAAAAAGACACTTTAAAGAGTACATACAGGCATTTGAAAAGAAAATTTATTTGTGATAGGCTAGACATGGTTCAAATAGCTATATTTATTTCCCACTAAATATTTACTGACATGAGCTATGGGACACCAGTTAAGGGACTCAATATCTATAAGAAAGCTCAAAGGCATTCACTTTCCATGTTTTCAAGGATTCATTACTTTCTTGTAATTCCCATAGCACTTTGTACAAATGGGAAGATTAAAGCTATTTTGGACTCTTCATGGGGATCAAAGATATGTCATCCCAGATTACTATTGACAAAGAGTTTTCAGCCAACCTACAGTGTATCTGTCTAAGCAGATGTCTCCAAGGGCAAGACTGAGAACAGAGAACACGAAATCAAGAATGAAGTTACTCATTTCAAAATGCCCAGTTCTAGCAAAGTTTGTGCGTGCTAACACCTCAACTATTCCACTGTTTTGCTACAAGCACCACGAGGGCAGGGCTTTTTATTTCATCCTTGTATCCCCACTTCCAAGTCTAATGGGAGATGGTCAATACCTCTGCTTATTCTGTGATCATTAGGCACTGTCATTGCTTTTACATACATCTGTCTCCTCAATAGGACTGTCACTTATGCAGGGGCAAAATCTGATTTTTATTCATGTATTTTTTCCCTGTATCCCACAAAGCAACTAATTCAGTAAATTCTGAATATAATAAGTTGTTACAAAAATTTGTTTTATTTTTCCAGACCACTCCTTCTAATAGCATGACTCCAAAAGTTATTAGACCACACAATAAACAACTCATTGATTCTACTACCTATTCACTATTCATCTCATGTCACTTTTGATCCCATGCCCTTTTTAATCCTGTGGTATATCATTATAATCACTTTACTCATTCTCTTGCATACACCCTCAACTTCTTTTTCCCACTTCTCTTTGAAATGCTTGTTTACTCTCTCTGCACTTTCCCCAGGGGTTCCTTTCCATTTGCAAGACTTTAAATACCACATGTGTCTTTAATGACTCAATAATGACTCCAAAATTGATGTATCTAGCCTGAACTCCCCCCGCCCTCTGAAATTCAAATTCATATATCTGACTGCCTATTCTATGTCTCCACTAGGATGGCTATGGTCATCACAAACTTAATATATCCAATACTGAACTTATTCTCTACCCTCACCCCAAATCTGCTTTTCCACCAATCTTACCCTTCTCAGAAAATTACAGTTCCATCCTTCTAGTTACTCAGTTCAATCATGACTCTTTTTTTTTTTTTCTCTCATGCCTGATTTCTAATTCTTTGGGCAGTCTTATTGGAGCTAATGTCAAAATATACCCATTATCTAAACTCTTCTTTTTACTGACATTGCTATCATCTTGATCTAAGCCACTATTCCATCTCACCGAAGTATACATGAGCCTCCTCCCTTGCTACCTCCCACCTTTCCACACTCCAACTCTCAATAGACATTGGAATGATCCTATTAAAACATAAGTTGAATCATGCCACTTCTCTTGTCAAAACCCTGCAATAACTTCTCATCTCATCCAGAGTTAATCTGGCTACTTGTCACCTCTCTGACCTTACCACATACATCTTTCCTCCCTTGCTCATTTTACTGCAGCCACAGTTGGACTGATTTCACTTGCATGGAAGGAATAAAAATTTAGCTTAAATTGAACCAACACTGATATATGTGAGGAGATAAATCAGTCTTCAACATAATTGGAGCTGTGCTGGGTTTTACCTATGAAGGAGGCATATACCAACAAGACTTCTGGCAACCATTCCAGAAACTTTTCTTTCAGAGGCTACAGAATTCTTTTACATCATGAGAATAATGTTTCTGAATCCAAGAGTATGATTAGATCAATCTAGGAGTCCTGTACACATATATATATTTTTATTTTACTGACTTCTCTGTATGTGTATGAAACATTTTTATTAAGGTAAAGTACTTTTTCAAAAGAAAATAGTTACACTTAGCCCCTAGAAATTGATTAATTAAAATTTGGGAACTGTTAGCTATAATTATTGATTTGTTTTTGGTTTAGTCCATCATTTTCAATCACAAAAGAATTCATCTTGAGATTCAACGAAACAAAAAATCCAAAAGAGAAGAAAGAATTGTTGGACCTAGCTAGAAAAAACATTCTAAGATGTAAGGTAATAGTACACTATTTGATTATTTAATATATGGACTTCCTGTTCTAGTCAGTGGGTGGTTACATGTTCTAAAATATTGAAAGTAAATATAAGAAATACCTTTTTAAAATCATTAGGTATCTTTAAAGATACTAATGCAAAGTAAAATTAAAGCTTACAACCAAATAATTCAATGTCAAATGGCCTTTTTAGGTGAAGATTCTCCATAAATTACTGAAGAATGTAACTGTTGACACTAGTCCAAGAGTTCACCACAAAATATGAAAGGCTGGCAAATAAATTCTTGATTATGATAATTCCACTTTTTCCTAAAAAAAAAAAAAAAAGGTTGACTGAGATATCATGTGTCCCGAAGAAGAAAGGAAGCTTCCCTAAACCTTCACATGATACATATACAGTATACTCTGTTCTTTCTCTGTAACAAACTATTCACCTAACTTGTAGAAAATACATTCTTTAAGAGTATGCCATTAATTTCTAAATTTTCAAAAACATATCAAAACAGAACAGGAAGTGAAATAAGTCCTTGTTTTACTTTTCTTACATTAGATCCAGTTTATTTTAGGCAGAGAAATAATATACGTATTACCAAATATACATACTACCAATATACATTGTACCAATATGGTACAAATATATATATGGTATATGTATATATACATATGGTACATATATACCATATTACCAATATACATAATATAAAAAATTCATGAAATAAAAGTTGCACAAACTGGAGCATAAATTAAGCCATATTTTTTGTTGTGGTGGTTGTTATTTCCCAGTATTTCAGTTCACTGTTGCTCACATATTTTAAAATTTTGAAAAAAATTGAGTAGAGAAAGAATATTCTTCTAGTAAGTATGCATGCTGAGAGGTGCTAACAGGTACATTCATCAGTGAGCTTCTGTCCAATTGGCTAACTGCTCCCTCGGGAAACCCCAGGAGTGGGCCCATTAAGGGAAGAGTGGCAGTCTTAATATCTGTCTCATGTTCATTAATTTTAGTCCATTCACAGTGAAGTAGCCAGAATTTTCCAGCCAATTGGCATTAAGCTAATTTCTGTTGAATCACATTCAATATGCTTTTCCTTCTAGAATCAGAGATGCATTCTCTTGGTGGGGTAATGAGGTAGAAGTAAACCCCTGAAAGTAAAGAATGAGAATTATTTTTAGCAAATAACTAATGATATAACTCAGAATATTAACAAACATCCTTTATGTTTCAGCACTAATACAATTTACATAAAATATCAAAAATAAAAATAATGAAAGCAAAGATTTTTAAAGTTTTATATAAACTAGCTATAGAGCATAGCCTCATAGAGTGACTTTCAGAATGTAATTAAGGGATAATCAAAATAAATAAGCAAATAAATAAATTTGTAAGAAGCTATACCTTTTGATTTGCCTTTTTCATGCTTCCCCATAACAGAGAAAATTGGGTCTCAAAACCTTAGGCTCTGGGAAGCATGTACATCTTCCTACCGCATGGATGGAAGTAATGTATCTCGCTCAGTGCAAAGGAGAAATCCAAGATGGTATGTACCCTTACTAAACTCTTCTTAGTTACCCTGAGTGTTTTCTAGATTAGCAGAAAAGGCATAACTTGTGACCTTTAATATTTAGAAATTGTGCAGGAGTCAGGGAAAATTTGCCTTTCTCTATCGAAATATCTGGTAATGTTTCACTGTGAAAGCTCCTTTTGTAATTTTGAATTTATGAATTTGACTGCTCAACTTTTTAATTACAAAATTGTTTTAAAAACTTTTGTTCAGTGCAGCCTTCACTGCTTTTCTCTAAAATTAGTAACTAATTAAAAAGTAATATAAAATGTCATTGAAGTGATTTTCAATTACAATAGGCAGTATATTTTAGAGAAACTTTCTTGGCATTTTATAATTCTTCCTCATAAAACGTTAACCAAATGGTCCTTTGTTTTCCACTTATTTTAAACAGCCGTTTTACTCATTACCTTTTCATTTATCACTTCTCATTTATATGTCTCCTTCCAAACCATCCTCCAACCAATAAAAAAGAAATAAAAAAACATTATTTTTAAGGAGGTAAAATTCCTTCTATCATTATCTGAATTTTATGTGTATGCCTTTTAAAATGAGTTTTAGAATGTTAACCATATGAGGTCAGAGAGTATTTCCCCATGTAAATTGAGTTTTGTAGGGCTATCTGGTAGGTTTCAAGCAACAGGAAGAATAAGAATAATTCTGTATTTAACTTGCCTTTATGGCACTTTCATCACAGTGCTATCCGCAGCCTGACCTCTATTAATTGTTTAAATGATACTGAAGTAAACACCCCTGGCTTATCAACAACCAGCACTTACTTGCTTTTCTTTGCCCATTAAACCTGTTTTGTTCAGGTATCCTGCAATCATGGGTTTCAGAAGAGGACTGGCCCTTCCGGCCTGGGGGCGGGGCAGGGAGTGGGGGTAGTAAGTCATGGGTGATCTAAAGTAATCATGGGATTCCCTTTTACTTGCCAGTGATTAGATTAGGAGTGGTCACAGGACCTGGTCCTAATCAGAGATGTAAAAATAGGTCTATTTGGAGTATTTTTATTGAATTGTTTTTGAAAAAGATAGGCCTAGGAAGAAAGCACCTCTTCCCTCCCTACACCTTTTGATTCCTCTCTAAATGGCTTGGTAAGAGAAAGATGCCTGGAGCTTGTGTGGTTGTCACTGTCACCATGTACATCAGAAGAACTAGAAAATGAAAGAAAAATTCATACAGAGGGCAGGTATTTGAGCCAGCCCTACAGCCTTTCCATCTATGATCTTGTGAAATAATAAACATACTTATTTTGGAGACATTTCTTTGCATTTCCTGTTACACACAGCCAAAAGCTTTTTCATTCTTCAAGATATTGAACTCCAAATAAAAACCCTAAATATGAATTCTTAGTACCGACTCCACAACTGAAAACCCTCCACATCTGTGTCTTATGTATCTCTAGTCTGCTCCTCATTCTATAATTCACCCTCCATGCAGCAGTGATCATACTAAAATCATTTCTAGTGACTTCTGATTACGCTTAAAAGAAGCCCTGACTTACAAGGCTCTGTATGGTCTTATTCTTAGCTGTCTTCCCTACTTATTCATTATGCTCCAGCCATACTGATCTCCTTTCTATTCCTTACATGTGTTGGGCCTTTTCCTTCCTCAAGTCCCTGCATTTGCTCTTCTTTTCAGATATTTACATGGCAGCCCTTCAAAATCTTTGTAATAACTTGAGGTGTAATTTTCTCTAGGGCCTTAGCTCTATATTCTTCCTCATTCATCTCCCCTGGGTCCTATTTCCTCTGCCTTGATTTTCTAGTTTTCCACTCTTTTTTTTTTTTTAAGATTTTATTTATTTATTTGACAGAGAGATAGAGAGGGCACAAGTAGGCAAAGTGGCAGGCAGAGGGAAGAGGGAGAAGCAGACTCCCCGCTGAGCAGGGAGCCCAATGTGGGGCTCCCTCCCAGGAGCCTGGGATCATGACCTGAGCCGAAGGCAGATGCTTAACCAACTGAGCCACCCAGGCGCCCCTCTGGTTTTCCACTCTTCTCTTTTTTTTTAATGTTTTATTTATTTATTCATGAGAGTCAGAGAGAGAGAGAGAGAGAGGCAGAGGCAGAGGGAGAAGCAGGCTCCCCGCCTAGCAGGGAGCCCGATGCGGGACTCGATCCCAGGACCCTGGGATATGACCTGAGCCGAAGGCAGACGCTTAACCATCTGAGCCACCCAGGTGCCCCTCCACTCTTCTCTTTATAGCACTTATCTTTAGCACTATCTTTTGTCATCCAGTTCTGCCCCATTTCCCCAACATTATTTTTATGGCCTGGTGATCTATTTTGTGTTGGCTGGAACAGCTGGAGCTCGGGCATCTCTCTCTCTCTTCTATCTCTAGCTCTGTAGTCTCTCCAGCTTAGTGATTTCTGAGTAATTACACTTCCTAGATGGTAGCTAAGTGTTCCAAAGCTAGTTATCTTGAACGAGAGATCCAAGTGGCAGCTGTATGGCCTTTTCTGATCTAGCATTTTATTGGTTAAAGCAGTCACAAGACCTACTCAGGATCAAGGGGAATGGGTTGTAGACTTCACTTCTTTTTTTTTTTTTTTTAAACTATTTCAGGGTATTTCCTTCATTTTTATTTTTTTATTTATTTTTTTTTGATGCAGTGTTCCATGATTCATTGTTTGTGCATAACACCCAGTGCTCCACGCAGAATGTGCCCTCTTTAATACCCATCACCAGGCTAACCCATCCCCCCACCCCCTCCCCTCTAGAACCCTCAGTTTGTTTTTCAGAGTCCATCGTCTCTAATGGTTCGTCTCCCCCTCCGACTTACTCCCCTTCATTCTTCCCCTCCTGCTATCTTCTTCTTCTTCTTTTTTTTTCTTAACATATATTGCATTATTTGTTTCAGAAGTACAGATCCGTGATTCCTCAGTCTTGTACAATTCACAGTGCTCACCATAGCACATACCCTCCCCGATGTCTATCACCCAGCCACCCAATCCCTCCCACCCCCCACCACTCCAGCAACCCTCAGTTTGTTTCCTGAGATTAAGAATTCCTCATATCAGTGAGGTCATATGATACATGTCTTTCTCTGACTGACTTATTTCACTCAGCATAACACCCTCCTAGACTTCACTTCTTGATGGGAGGGGTGTCAAAGAATTTGTAAATATTTAACATTTTACATTTTTAATATTTTAAAACCATAGTCTGGTTTTGGTGACAACAAATAGTTAACTGTAAGGTTTAATTGTAGCACGTAGACAAAAGCATGATCTTCAAATTATGCAGTTTCTACCTTTTTAATATTTCAGAAGCTTTAAATATGCTTTATGCTTCCCTGGACCATGCTTCCTTTGATTATGATCATCTGCCTACCTTATTTTTTGTTGCGGAATCAGTTTTATATAGACTCTGTTGTGATGCATTCCAAAAGACATACTTATATTCAGTTGAAATAAAGCTGATAAAGGTATGTTTTAAAATATTCTAAATATGTTGTAATTGCTACACATACTACATGTAGTCACATGACACCTGTTTTAGGATCTAAACAGGCCATTGGGTTTTATTATGGAATATTCTCTTGTTTGATAGTTTGTTTTAATCTTCTCTACATGTGGATAATACATTATTACTTGATATCCAAATGGAGGTAGTTTGAGAAAATATATTTCCACCTACTATGTAAGAAAATAATATTTAATTAAAATCAGGTTTAAATGTATATGTCTGCATATGTATAGCTTTTCTTTCTATTTTAAGGATTTTTAAATGCCACTTTCCATTTAAAAATGCCAACAGATAACCTTAACTAGTTGCCCAATTTGAGAAGATGAGTTGTTCTCTCAGTATTCTGTGTCATTTAGAGCCATAAGATAGGAAACTATCTTCATGGGGTTCATGTTTTATAAGGTCTTGGATGTCATATGGTTCTACTCCCTGTGATGATTGTGGTTGCCTGTTGCAAAATTTATTATGAGTCAAAAAAATTTAGGTTAAGTAGTGGTTTATTGCAAAGAAAATAAAGAAAAGCAGAAGAAAAAAATATAAGAATATATATTTTTAGGATATATGTATTTTAAGAATTACTTGCAAAAATTATTAAGTATTATTTGCAAGAATAATTTCTTATTCAGTTTTGACTATGAACTGTTAGAAACCAACCATGGAAATATTCATGAGTCAGCCAGGGCATTTTTGGAAGTACTGTATTTTAGTCCTTAGAAATCAAGCCTAGATCCTCTCCAGCATGTTTGGGGGTAGAAGACTTATGGAGACCAGGAGAGATTCAGAGAGCATGTAATAGATTTAATGGAAATTGAACGTGTGAAGAACTGAGGTTTGCATAGAAGAAGGATGGGAGAAGAGAGGCAAGATGTTACCATGATGACTTTTTCTTCTTTTCCCTGTTTCCCAAACTGTCCATTGCGGAGATATATAAAAGATTATAAAATTACTATAGAGATTTAAAAAGATATCTACATCTCTGTATTAATGATAAAAGAATGAAAGGAGAAATATAAAGCAAGTCTGGTTTTCTCCCCTTTTCTTCTCATTCCCTTTAGTGACCATTTTCCATTCGTTGCCATTTATATTTCTGCTACCAATAAATGACTCTAAAATAAAGTTTTAGCCATTGCACAAATTATTTATAACTTATATACACTATGTCATTTATTTATTTATTTTTAAAGATTTATTTATTTATTTTAAAGAGAGAGCACATGCACGAGCAGAGGGGAGGGGCAGAGGGAGAGGGAGTGAGGGAATCTCAAGCAGACTCCCCACTGAACACAGAACCCTATGCGGGCCTCGATCCTACAACCCCAAGATCATGACCTGAACGGAAACCAAGAGTCAGATGCTTAACCAACTGAGCCACCCAGGCGCCCTATCACTATGCCATTTATTTTTAATAAGATTCCTATATCTTCTCATCTGACAGTTTAGACAGTTTGCACAGGTTCGTATAATAGCTGTGTACACTTAGACAGAACTTAACTTGCACAATGTCTTGCACAATGATCAGTAATTTAGATGTATTAGACATATTAACTTATTTAATCCTTATAACAATCCTAAAAGGTAAGTGCTATTATTGGCCATTATTTTACAGACTGTGGCATAGAGAGTCTAAATGAATTATTCAAGGTCTCAGCAGAGAAGGTTTTGAAACCCAGAAGGTTTTGAAACTCAGTGGAGTCTCAGCTATAATGCTATACATTTATCTTGGCTCTCAGATTTACTAATTTCAAAGTCTACTCCTTCTTGTTCTAGATAATATAAATTAGCTAGTGGAAATAAGCATCCTCTATAATACCTTTGATTTCAGGCAAGAAGCCATTTCAGTTATCTTCCTTGACTTTGTAGAATTTTCATTATATATCTGACAGTCAGTTGGAAACCTCCCTTTTGATCTTTTCTTTTTGACAGTATGCTATACTGAAACATATTGCCAGGGAAGCATCACCCACCTTCATATGCACCATTTTTTGATAAAGTAGTATATAGCTCAGCATTAGGAAAAGCCAGAAATATTTGATTCCATAATATTATTTACTTTCACATTTTGTGTGCCTTCTTTCCTCAGTATTTACCACTGAGTGTAGAATCCCATCTTAAGTATTGGGTCTACTTAACTGAAGTGTAGAGAATAACATATAAGCAATGATGGTTTAATATATTTTAGATAGAAAATGTTCTTCAAGCTTCTATAAAAAAAAACTTGGAGCACATAACCAACCATTAAAATATAACACATAATAAATATTATTCATCTTTTCTCTTTCACTATTAGATAATAGAGTCCGAGAAATGAAGAGAAGTGTCATGGAGAGAGAAGGGGAGTAAGGAATAAAGGAAGGAAAGATGGTAGAGTGAAGAAAGAGAAATTGACAAGGAGAGATTCAGTCTAGGAGGCAAAGCTCAAGCTGTCAAGCTACAGAAAGAATATGTACACAAATGAGACGAGGAAAGATGCACAGAGGGTCCCAGAATATTTTAGAGTTATAGAAAGGCAGATTTTTAAATAAAAATTTAGACTCTCGGAATATTATAGATGAAAGCTTTTAAAACCATTTTTCCAAGCATAGTTATAACTAGGGATAGCTTCTGGGGCAGGTAAAACTCATCACCAAATTGGGGTATAATACAGTGACCATTCAAACTGATCTGTTTTTCATGTATTTTTCTATTTTGTACAACTTGAAATTTTTGAACATGAATTTTCTTTCAATATCCATCTCTAATTCCTTGCAAATTATTCCCCTTTGATTAATTTTCATTCATTGTCTATAACAAGGGGTATTTTTTATTTTAATATTCTCACAGAATATTGCAGTATTCTTTTAAATGATCTGACAATTTCCACTTCCCATCTAATTTCAATCTCTTAGAGAAGCATAATAACTATATCAAAGTGGTCTGTATGAAGAGATCCCTTGGATATCCTTCATAAATGTTTTCTTTTTATTTAAGTCTATAAATGGTGCATGTTTATAATTTATAGATACATTTATAAATATTGATGCTGCATTCTCAGAATTTATTTTACCAATAAAATTTTATGATAAAAATACTTGGAAATCACTGCTATAATAGAAAGTTCGTGACTTTTGGTGTAGCACAGTCTTGGGTTCAAAGTCCAGTCATGCCACTTATTTGTTAAATTGTCTTGGTTTGATCACTGAGACTTGGTAGAATCATCTTTTTTGTTTTATTATTATTATTTTTTACATATGGATCTGACAGCACCCTGTATCGTTGTTAAGAGGATTTGGACTACATGTATCTTGATAGTGATATTTTATTCGTTTTTTTCCATAATCTTATGATTTAGCAATTTAGGAATTTGTGTTCCATTTATTTCTATAGTTTGTGGGGTTTTTTCTTATGTTCTGTGAAAACTTGCACATCATATATTTTTGCAGATATTCCATTTTCTGTATTGTATGTAAAACAAACTTGCTACACATGAAACTTCACAGAGGTAAGATAGTAGTGTTTATTTAGCAATGACTTTTTTTCATAAGGGAATTGGGATCTTAGTGTAGCATAGTATGCCCCAGGCAGAATATTTCTCAAAACTATCTAAAGAAATGTTTTTTAAACTGTTTTGACTGAAACTCATAGAAAAAAATATCTTTGGCATTGCGATCCAGCACACACATAATGCACACTGATTTATATACCAAAACAAGGAACTGTGCAATGTACTATGATATTTTCTTTTCTCTTTTATTTTGTTTAAAAATCCCCTTTCAGTTGATTTCATGACTCACTTAAGGGGCATGACTTGCAACTTGAAAAATACTATTCTATAGGACATGGAACAAAATAGCATTCAGTATTGGTCATTATATATAATGTAGAGATGATTTATAAGATTTTCTTGGCTGAACCAGTATTTCAACCTTGATAAAAATGTTTTAAAGTTATTTCAAAAGCACATAAGCTCAAGTGAGTTTGAAATTGTTTCATCAAAAGCAAATGTAATAATAAAATGGTTTAGTTTCCTTATAGTTTCTAAACATCTATTGATGCAAGACAAAAATATTTTTTTCTTTTTCTTTTGACAGATTGGCTATCTGGTCTTCTTACGACTTTTTATATATTTCCTGCATGGTCACCTAGAAAGTTTTAAACAACATTTATTTAGGCTTCAACCATATTTATACGGTAGACTATCTTTTATTTTCTGTACTTATAAATGTTTTATGTTATAGTTTGAGAAGCTCAGACTATCACTATAAAGAACATAAGCTGTATTTTATTTTTCATGAAAAATACCTATTTTTCATAATAGGTACAGTATTGCAGAACAAGGCTTCTGGGCCAGACTGCGTGGGTTTTACTTTTAACTTTTCTACCTAACTAAGTGCATGATCTTGTTTGTGACTCAGTTTCTTCATCTGTAATAGTATGTACCTTTCTAGATTTCAAGAAAGTTAATTTTATATTTTAGTAAGGTAATACTAGTGACAATGTAGATACTGAACTAAAGTAAGAAGAGTGTGGATGCGGGGCATCAGTTAGCTATGACATTAGTTGGGCAGGAGATGTTAACCATTATGAACTTTTAAAATGGGAATGAGATAGAGTAGGATAGTTTTGAAAAATGTTTAGGAGGAAAAAGACACTAAATTTGGTGATCAATTGGATCTGTGCTATATATAAGGGAAAATGAGGAATTCAGGAGGAATCTTAAATTTTACATACCGACAAATACAGTCAAGATAGTGTACTCTAAACTGAAAAACTTCTGGAGAACCAATTGGACGTGTTGAAATTTGAAGGTCAATCAGGTATATATACACAGTGAGTAGTTAGAAATACAGATTTGGAACTAGGGAAATAAGCAAAGGCTGGGATTCACTTATTTCACAGATACTAACATAGGTGATTTGACAATCATCCATGTTAACATGGCTGAAATAACCTTGGGCTGGAAGGTGTTGGAGGGGGGGAATTAATTTTAGGAAAAGGCTTGCAGAACATAAACATTTAGTACATAATTGGAGTGCCATACATCAGTAAAGGGAAATAAGAGGGAGTAATGACATAGAAATCTAAAGAAGGGAGGTTCAAGAAGATCAACATCATCAAGAGCTGTAGAAGTATTAAATAATAGGAGGTCTGAAAGTTGATGGGATTCTGTAAGCAGAAAGTCATTGTTGATCTTGGGAGCTTTCCTGTTGGAGAGGTGGAAGCAAAATTCAGATTGGAGGTAAACAAAGAGTGAAGGGAAAGTTTAAGCATAAGACAGAGATGGTGAACTATTACAAAAAGCTTAGCTATAAAGGGAAAGAGAAATACATCAATAGTTTGGATGAAAAAACAGGTCAAAAAGAGTTTCACTTCTTCCTTTCCAATTTGGATGCCTTTTATTTCTTTTTCTTGCTTAACTGGTATGGCTAGGACTTCCAGTACTATGTTGAATAAAGATGGTGAGAATGGGGATCCTTGTCTTGTTCCTGATCTTGGAGGAAAAGCTTTCAGCTTTTCACCCTTGAATAAATGTTAGCTGTGGACTTGTCATATGCAACCCTTATTATGTTGAGTTGCATTCCCTCTATACCTGCATTGTTGAGAGTTCTTTTAATCATAAATGGATGTTGATTTTTGTCACATGCTTTTTCTGCATTTATTGAGATGATCATATTTTTAGCTTTCGTTTTGTTAATGTGGTATATCACATTGACTAATTTGGGGATGTTAAACGATCCTTGTATCTCTGGAATAATTCCCATGTAATCATGGTGTATGATCCGTTTAATGTGTTCTTGAATTTGGTTTGCTAATATTTTGTTGGGGATTTTTGAATCTATGTTCATCAGGGATATTGGCCTGTAATTTTCTTTTCTTGTGGCATCGTTGTATGATTTCGGTAGGGTAATGCTGGCCTTATAAAATGGGTTTAGAAGAGTTCCTTCCTCTTCTATATTTTGGAAGAGTTTAAGAAGGATTGGTATTCTCTTTGAATGCTTGGTAGAATTCATCAGTGAAGCTGTCTGGTTCTGGACTTCTATTTGTTGGGATGTTTTTGATTATTGATTCAGTCTCCTTACTAATAATCACTCTATTCATATTTTCTATTTCATCTTGATGCAGTCTTCGTAGGTTGTATGTTCCTAATAATTTATCCATTTCTTCTAGGCTGTCTTATTTGTTGGTGTATAATTGTTCATAGTAGTCTCTTACGGTCTTTTGTATTTCTTTTTTTAAATCCTTTTTTTCTATTGTAACATCTCCCTTCATTTCTTTTTTTAAAAAGATTTTATTTATTTATTTATTTATTTGAGAGAGGGAGAAGTTGAGAGAGAGCAGAGCAGGGTGAGGGGCAAAAGAGAAGCAGGCTCTCCGCTGAGCAGAGAGCTCCATCCCGGGACTCCGGGATCATGACCTGAGCTGAAGGCAGACACTTAATTTACTGAGCCACCCATGTGCCCCATCTCCCTTCATTTCTGATTTTACTTATATGAGTCCTCTTTTTTCTCTTGGTGAGTCTAGCTCAAGGCTTGTCAATTTTTCTTTTCAAAAAACTTTATTTTTAGTTTTAAATAAACTTTTTAGTTTAATGGATTGAATAAAGAAAACAAGGTCAAAAGAGGAAAAAATTAGTATGTTGTACGGTAAGAGATAAAAAAGAGACTCAAGATACAAGAAAGGGAATATTTGGTGGAAAAAGTCATGGAGGAGGGAATAGGAGATAATAGAAGTGTTTTGGAGACTGACCAATAAATTGCACCACTACTACAAATTCTGACAGGGTATGAAACCAAGACAAGACTGAATAAGAATTCATGTCTATCATATCACTTGTTTTGATTTCTTCATACATTATAATCCTCTTTTTAACTCCTCACTGTGTTCAGTATAGTGACTCATTAAATAATTAGATGATAGTGGCAAATAAATTTTGAAAAATTATGTGAATAAAATCTCAAGATCTCACATTAGTTTGTTATTGTAGATCTATCCCAAGAAAACCAATAACTGTTTCATATAAGGATAAAATCCCCAATTTTGCCCTTCTATCAAATACTAAGTAGAGCCTTACTTATGCTACATCTCTGTCTTTAGCAACAGAATGATTTTTACCTGGGGCCATTAGCAACTGCCTCCTATTCATGTAGCCATATAGTAGAAGAGTAGTTATTATTAATTTTTTCCACTATCAATAGATTGAAACTCAAAAATTGTCTAAAAGTTTACAAAAAGAACAGCATAAAGATATTTCTGTTAAGTACCACATAGTGTTATGTTGAATGACATAATTGTTGTTATATTTAAAATATATTCTTTCAAAAATCAACAACAATAACATCTTGAAAAAGAATAAAACTAGAGAATGTAGGTTAACAGTGATGATTTATTTGTAGGATTACAGTTTCAAAGTATCATTATGATATGATAACATATGAATGTTATAACTTGATTTATTTTCACCTGGAAGTTTCCAACCGTTATTGTGCAGTAACTATACTTAATTGGGCATTCTACCATTACGCAATTGATGTTCTGAATTATATAAACTCTTATGTATTAATTATTTACCTTGTAGTTTTCTATTATGCCAGCAGGGGTCATGCATAACATTATAAATCTTGAATAGATGGGGGACTGGATAGCAGGTTCAGCATCTAAGTATTGAATTTAATTATATTTTAGTAACTAAAAGACAAATGAAACACAATGCAAGATATTAATGAAATATTCATCACAAATTATTTTCCTTACAATAGCACTTTGTTTTTCTGGAGAGTCATATTACAAGTATCCAAACATCTTTTCAAATGTGCAATTCATTCTGAAAACCATGGAAATTATATGCAAAAGAGAACTCCTCTCTGGATCAATTTTTAGCCCTGTGGAAAACAAGAAAAGCTATAAGAACATAGATTCTGATATGGTGAGTGTATCCTAGTGCATAATGAGTCAGATAACATTAATATGATTAAATAATTGTGCTTGCCAATACTGCAACATTGCTGAAGATGAGTTTAGCTGGTGGTGGGGGTAGGGCGAGAGGAACAAATAGCAAAAACAATAAACCATATGCACAGTTCCTGGACAGTAGTTAATAGGATTAGCAGTGGGGCATCAATATGCACCACTACTTTAAATAGAGTAATGTCAATTAATATCTTTTTCCTTATAGATTCCATCTCAGCTACTTAATTGGAAATAGCAATGCAATTTAGATTAATTTATAAATGAGGATTTTAAGATATTACATTTGTATTACAAGGAAAGTGTATAAAGTACAGGCTATTAATGAGAGCAATTGTAATATTTGATGCTTCCATAATTCATATGTAATTACATTTAAAATGCTATTAAAATCAACTGAAATGTTTTTAAATGGTTCAAAATTGAGGAAATAAAATAATCTCTAGTATAAGAAAAATTGTCCTTTAATTTCTAACTTGGACATTAGTGATCAACATTAGAGGAAACTGTCCCAATCATGTAATTCCTTGGTATGTAATAAATTATGTATTATGTGAACAGAGCTGCAGTGAGCCATATAATTGTTCATATATGTTATGGGCTGATGTACCTCAAAAAACAAACTTCAATCTCTGGGGCTCGTATGTATTTCCTTCTCTCACATATACTCCAAAAGAAAGCAGTGAACAGTTTGAAACCTTGCTTCTTTTGTTATTTTATTTTTTGTTACATATACTTATTATTTCATAGTTTATAAACAGAAAATTTGTTTTTCTAATAATTTCTTAAAAAGGAAAACATAAGGGGACGCCTGGGTGGCTCAGTCAGTTAAGCGTCTGACTCTTAATTTTGGCTCAGGTCATGATCTCAGGGCTGTGGGATCAAGCCCTGTGTCTGTCTCCATGCTCAGCTTGGAATCCGCTTGGGATACTCTCTCTCCCTCTGCCCCTCTCCCCGCTCATGCGCACTCCCTCTAAAATAAATAAATGAATAAATCTTAAAGGAAAATGTTTAACATAAGGGAAGTTGAAACAACTAAAAAAATTTAAGATTCCTTTTTCAAATAGTTGTATTATGATTTGCCTCACAGTTTTCCCATGCTTCTCTTGGGCCCTTTCTAAAACCAACTAAAACATAAGTATTTAAGGAAACACATTTAACCACGTCTATTTGTAATCATTATAGGCTTTTGTGTTTTCTCTTTGGCTCATTACTTGGTGAATCATTGACACAGAGTGACATATGCTAAGTAATTTTGAATCTTTTGGTTATAATTACTAATGAGCACCAATTACTTCATTCACAAAAGGGATCTTGTTTTTAAGTTTAAAGACTATTTTAACAATAAATATATAATCTATGATACTGAACAATGGTAAGAACATTGGTCATGAGAAGAAAGACCTGCTCAGCAACTGACTATGATTCAGAGGAGGTCCGTTGAGCTCTCTAAATCCCCATTTGCTTATCTTTAAAAAGGACATCACCACCACCACCACCACCACCACCACCACCACCATCATAATCATCATCATCATCATCATATTCACCCTAACTAATCTATAGGATTGTTGTGAAGATTGCAAAAAAGCATGTGCCTTGTAAATGATTGAGGGCCATGAAAATGTTAACAATGATTATTGATTATATTTAGGAACTCACTTTAACTTAGGCAGTTAAATATAGTAATTTTCATCTAAGGACATGATTATGCTGACTAAATAATTGTGTTTTACTATGAAGTTAATTGTGCTTAATGAGTGATTTGAGTGTTTTTGCTTAAAAAATAAGATATTGTGAAATCTTGACAATATGAGTGTTCTAGTTATGAAGGAGGCAACCTTCAGTGTTGATTCTGCTTCTCTTTAAGAATCTAAATGTTCACAAAGCAGGAAAGAATATCCAATGGAAAAAGGACAATCTCTTCAACAAGTGGTGTTGGGAAAATTGGACAGCCACATGCAGAAGAATGAAACTGGACCACTTTCTTATACCATACACAAAAATAAATTCGAAATGGATGAAAGACCTAAATGTGAAACAGGAATCCATCAAAATCCTAGAGGAAAACACAGGCAACAACCTCTTTGACCTCGGCCACAGCAACTTCTTGTTAGACATGTCTCCATAGGCAAGAGAAACAAAAGCAAAAATGAACTCTTGGGACTTCATCAAGATAAAAGACTTTTGCACAGCAAAGGAAACAGTCAACAAAACTAAAAGGCAACCTATAGATTGGGAGGAGATAATTGCAAATGTCTTATCAGGTAAAGGGCTAGTATCTAAAACCTAAAGAACTTATCAAACTCAACATCCAAAAAACAAAAAATCCAGTCAAGAAATGGGAAGAAGACACAGACATTTCCTAAAGAAGACATATAAATGGCCAACAGATACATGAAAAAATGTTCAACATCACTCATCATCAGGGAAATACAAATCAAAACCATAATGAGATACCACCTCACACTGGTCAGAATAGCTAAAATGAACAACTCAGGAAACAACAGATGTTGGCGGGGATGCAGAGAAAGGGGAACCCTCTTACACTGTTGGTGGGAATGCAAACTGGTGCAGCCACATAGGAAAACAGTATGGAGGTTTCTCAAAAAGTTAAAAATAGAACTACCCTACAATCCAGCAATTGCACTACCAGGTATTTATCCAAAGTATACAAACATAGTGCTTCAAAGGGGTATGTGTACCCCAATATTTATAGCAGCAATGTCTACAATAGTCAAACTATGGAAAGAGCCCAGATGTCCATTGACAGATGAATGGGTAAAGAAGATGTGGTGTATATACATATATACAATGGAATATTACTCAGCCATCAAAAAAATGTTACTCAGCAAGAGTGAAATCTTGCCATTTGCAACAACATGGATGGAACTAGAGGGTATTTTCCTAAGTGAAATAAGTCAGTCGGAGAAAACAAATACCGTGTGATTTCACTCATGTGGAATTTAAGAAACAAAACATGAACATAGGGAAAGGGAAGGAAAAATAAAATAAGTGAAAACAGAGAGGGAGGCAAACCATAGAAGACTCTTAACTATAGGAAACAAACTGAGGGTTGTTGAAGGGGAGCTGGGTGGGGGGATGGGGTAACTGGGTGATGGGCATTAAGGAGGGCACTTGAAGTAATGAGCATGTGGTGTTATATGCAACTAAATAATCACTAAATTCTACCTCTGAAACTAATAATACAGTATATGTTAATTAAATTGAATTTAAATTAAAAAATTAAAAAAATAGATGCTATCTAAAAAATAAATCTATCTGTTCTTGTCAATCTTGGTGTACAAAAGCTACAAGGACATGGAAGATTCCTGCTGGACAGCTTTGCCTGAACTGAAAGGGGCAAAATGTCAACACATGAAAAGAATGTATCTGTTTAGGGGCGCCTGGGTGGCTCAGTCGGTTAAGTGTCAGCCTCTTGCTTTTGGCTCAGGTCATGATCTCCGAGTCCTGAGATAGAGACCCCACGTTGGACTCTGTGCTGAGCGCAGAGTTATCTTGTCCCTTTCTCTCTGCTCCCCCCACCCCCCGCTCTTGAGCTCTCTCTCTCAAAGATATTTTTAAAAATCTAAAAAAACAAAAAAGAGAATGTTTCTGCTTAGAGTGGGACAAGTCGCTAAGTCTCTGTGCCTTTTTCCGCAAAGAACAAAGAGCATAGTTTCAGTCTTTTCTAAGTTCTATTTCAGCTCTATACCTCTGATTCTGTGAGGGGATTATAACAGATTTTAGCCTATCAGATTTATTGCTCTTTTTCTCCTCTCATTCCCACACAATATAAAGAATTTGAAAGGTAGTGTAGCCACAGTGCTACTAAAATTTCTGGTTCAGCTAACTAATTCAGTGCCTGATTACATGTTTGAACATTGTTCCCCAGTTTCAGCCCAATTTCTTCAGTATAGCTTGGTCTAAGCCAGGCTCTCCCGTTCAGTTGAGTACTTACCCATTCAATACCCATCTCTCTCACCTACTGGGAGAAGACAGGAGGAATCAGAGAGGAAAATGGGAATATAAGCAATACATCTGTCTTCATCCCCCTCCTTTCTTTGTTATTGACCTGCCATAGTAGAGGATTTGAGGATTTATTCTTACAGCCCTCCTTTTCCAATAATGCTCAAAGGTCCATGACAGAATATTTTGGCCACTGCAAAATATTTTGTTTTTAATATATTTATCCACATTGGAGTAAAAACATAAGCATTTAATTTGTTTTCCAAGTGCTGCCATAAAATGGCTGAAAAAATAAAGAATTCTGTAGGATATACATGTTAGGATACACACAATATGGGTGTTGGTTCTATTTTAGAATAGGAAATTTCCTTTCCCTGCTGCTAGAACCCATTTCTTCTTTTAATATCCTTTAAAGCTGATCCAGACACAAGGTTTCCATTGACTTTGACAAATGGTGCACTTTAATTAGCTCTTTGGCTTTCAGAGCCAGAACACTGGATTGAGTTTTCCACTCTGTCTGTTGTTCACTAGCAGAACTCAATTCGCTGAGTACAGTTGTCACATGATAGTAACAATATAGTTTTTTGGAGATAGTAGATTAAACTCAACTGAAATGCAGTAGACCCTTTACTAAATAGCTGCATCTGTCCTAAAGTACAAATAGTTTTCTGAAAACTAGGAAACATACAGAGTTTACATTCAATTGTGATTAGCAATCTCATCCTCTAATGCTTTAAGTACTTGGGAAGCCAAAGGCATTATCTAAATTTGGGACATTTTGTGCTATACTGCAATTGTACATGGTTACTAGGGTTAGACTGAGACACAGGTTCTTTAAAATTAGAAGCATTATCCTATGATTCATATTATATGATAATATCCTATTATCTAAGTAGCACATTTGTGTTAAGAGGTCCTTTCATGGCATTGTCAACCATCCCCAAAATGACTAAAAACAAGGATGAAACTCAAAAAGCTATCTCTGAACAGCCAAAATACAGCCCATTCTTCAAAGTTCATTACTGTTATAAAAGAGAGTCTGGTCTGATATTCAGAGCTTGTGTACTCAAATTTGCATAAAATTCAAGCTGGTGTGGTTATCTGAAATTTCAGCCAACATTAGATTAATAGCACTTTTTTAGGTGGACTTCTCAAAATAGGTATTGTACAAGCTGCACTGATAGCTTGTTGGAGAACGTAATTGAGAGGATGTGGCCACTGGTTTCTCCCACGAGCTGGACCTGGGCAACCTGAGGCTCCTCCCTGGAATGCATGTTCTGCTCACTGTTCCCACAGCTGGAACCATTTCAAGGATGTAGCCTTGAGAGATCAATGTGTTCTTGAGACCATCTGGGTGGTATAAGTGAAAACCCAGTTAAGGCTTCCTATAAACCTTAAGATTCAGGTGGGTGCAGAGGATTTGCTTGTCTTGCAGCAACCTAAGAGAATCCTCCTAAGTAAGTTCCCTGGCTTATTAGACCTATCACCTACCAATCTGGAGTGATCTCTCTCTTTAATCTCTGTTTGGCCTCTGTGTACAGGGTCCAGTTTGCAAAGGAGCATAATCCAAAGCTGGGCAGCAAGGCATGCAGATGAAAGAACTATAGGAAGTGGTCATAAAGCCAAGAAAAAAGGAAAGAAGGAAGAGAGGAAGGAAGAAAGGAAAGAGGGAGGGAAGTAAGGGGGTAAAAAGAAAAAGTTCTCTGGGAGTCATTTAATGCCCTGCTCAGTGTTTTTCAAACTGTGTTAAAAGAGCCCTCTCAACTTTTTTGGGGGGATTTTATTTATTTATTTGAGAGGGGGGCAGGGAGGGAAGATGCACAAGCAGGAGGAGAAGAGGGACAAGTAGACTCTGTGCTGAGCATGGAGCCTGTCTCAGGGCTTGATCTCACAATCCTGAGATCATGACCTGAGCCAAAATCAAGAGTTGGAGCTTAACCAACTGAGCCACCCAGGTGCCCCTGTTTTACATTATTTTAAAATAAAGCTTTTCTATGGAATATTCTAACATTCTAAACATTGGCTTGTTTTCATTTGCCTTTCTGAGTGATTATTCCCCACAGTCAGTAGCCTTGTGCAGAGACTTTATCTTACTCATGACTTATCTCCAGCATCTGAGTTCCCAACATAAAAATAGATCAATACACATCTGTGGGACTTAACCAAACAGTTTACTAGAAACTTAATATACCTTAGTTTAAAATTTATATATGAATTTCTGGCCTTTCAACTTAAGAATACTTAACATGACAATTATCTTTAAATTGTAGATCTAATGTTGTTTGTATAATAAATGAGAATTATAAAGCCTTTTGGAGTCTCTTTAAGGGTTTCTTTTGAGCATAAAAGAATGAAATATTAAGTACATATCATAAGATGTGTATTTGAATCTGTATTGTTGGAAAAAATTCAATGAGAGTGCTATGTTATCACTGTCTAACAATAAAGTCAGGTTTCTTTATACCGGTTACTTTAGTAGATCAGCTAATTCTATGAAACTGTTAGGAAGCATTTCAAGAAAAAATAAACAGATAACAGCCCATTTTTTTCCCCTGAATTTGTAGACTTTTAAAATGTTACTTAGCAGACATTGACCATGTCTAGCTAGGCATGTATATTGCCCTTAAAGTGGAAATCCACATTTTAAAACCTAATTTGCTGTTTGATCATTGTTCAAACTTTTCCCCATCCTCTCCTCCTTGGGTGTCAGGAAGAACTAAGTCATATAGGGTCTAAGAAGCACATTGTTCTAATAATTGTCCTGTAGAGGATATAGAGTTTTTGTTATAGTGTGGAATGATGTCATTGAACACAAGGGACCCATGTGAAAAGCAATTAAGACATTAGGTTCAGGTTAACAATTGAAGGGAAGCAAAATTTGCTGCCCCAAAATATGACTCTTTGGCATAAGGATTATTTTAGGCTGGTTATTTTTAAGAAATCACAGACACAGGAGAAGCTGTGAAAATTGAGTAGAAGTTACCCTTTTTGTAAGAGATATTTACATTTTAAGAGAAGTCTCTATTTGTTATGGGTGCCTCTCTCTCTGTACTAGGAAGAGAAGAATGATTCTAAATCTCTAGAAACTCTTATCAGTGGAGAAGGCAATGACAAATCTGCATGTCAACCTTACCCTTGTTTACTAGGCTTTTCCTGTTAACCATCCATAACTGCCCATCCTCCTGTTTTGTCTTTAGCTAGAGATGTTATATAAGGTAGTGGCTTGGGCCATTTTGAAAAGTATTCCTGGGTCTCTACCATGTGTACAGGAGGTATACATGTTATTCAACTTCTGTTTGGTTTTCTCCTGTTAATCTGTCTTTTTATTACAGGGGGTACAAAGGTCTCAGCCAAGAACCTGGAAGGGTAGATAGAAAATTATTTTTCCTCCCCCACACTATATATATTTGCAAAAATATACTTAAGTAAATTGCTCTTTTTGGTGTAACATGAAGTTTAAGAAAATAATGCATTTTCATTTGAATATTTAAAATTTCCCAGGAAATTCATTTTCATGTTTATTCAAGTCAAATAACTCTTTTCCAGATACATTTTTATGTTTTAATTCCAGGAACATTTGCAATTTAATCAGGGAGGATATGAAGTTAACCACCTGCTCTGGCACTGTGTTGCTGCCTGGTCATGTGTTCAGAAGAATTGTCCTCAGCTGAATAAGGTGCTTGAACATCTCATCTTTCATAAAGTGCAGCTTCAAAAGAAATGCTGGTAAGAGGGATTCTATAAATCCAAAGTAATTCATGGAGAAACCTTTGTGTTTAAATGTTAAATAACCTTTGTACTTAAATGTTAATCACACCTTAGTTGACTATGAAAATAATTTATAATCTCAGTTCCAAATGCAAGGGCAATTTATATATTTTGTATTAGTTCATTTCATCAACAAATTGTTCCTATCTCTCTCTCTCATTTTTTTTTGCTAGTTTGCTTAATCTATATTTATCAAATGAAATTTGTTATTGATAAGAAGTGCCTCCCCCATTTAAAACATCCTTTATTTTTTAAGTTGTTAAACAACAACAGTGAGGTACAGTTTATTATCCTTGGAGGAAATATATTGAGGTTCTGTTTCTTTATGCCTTACTTGTAAAGTATAACAAAAATAAATCTTGACTGATGAGTGTTAGTTTCCTCCTGTACATATATTAATTTGAGAAGGAAAAAGAAGTCTTAAATTACTACCAAAGAGGATATGGGTTCAGTGGAGGGGAGAAGAATTTTAAAGGAGTATTTCTGAGGAAAGTGATCAGAGGAGATATCCCTTTTCAGTATTTGAGGATATTCAGAATTTTGAATTCCTCTTCCAACGCTAATGGTAATCATCATCATCATCATCATTATCATCATCATCATCTGTCAGGCCATAGCCAAGTTGCAAATTCAGTCATCATATTGTTTTCTTAAAATTAGTTCCTGCCTCTGGCTGCCCACTGGCTGCCCACTCTACACCAAAGGCCTTTGTATATGTAAATTCTAAGAATCTGGAGGATTCCTTATGAAGGAAAGGTGTTTTCCTAGTTTCATTTGGAAGTTTTTGGGATTCTAGATCAAGTAAAGATTTCTGGAGGATGGCTTAGAGTTTGCTTAATTTCCTAGAAATAGCCTAGTTCAGAAGATGTTTCATCAAGAACTTACTCTGTCTTGTCCTGTGATGGGAGAAATCTACTCAATATTGCAGTTAACAAAGATTGTGATTCTTTTATGTTTTAAAAGCTAAGGATGATATCTTTAAATAGGAAAATTACAATGCAAATAGAATATAATTTTAATAAGTATATGTTCATATAGAGTTGATAAATACAATAAAAATTAGAGATTCTCCCTGGTGCAAAGTTGGTTATTCTGAAAGCCATGGTGATTCTTTCAGACCACTCTTACTATAGAAGATAAGTTGTAGGGGATTCAAAGATACAATTTAGTTTTCAAAAGGGTATAGAACTATTTTAGCTCTTGGAAGACTCTAATTTGATTTAAAAAATAGGAGAAATTACATTTTAACATATAAAAATAAGTATTTCATGACTTTCAAGTTTATTTTCAAAGCATTCTAATAATTACCAAATAAACAAGTTTAAAGAAATACTGAGATAGTAAAAGTGGCTGATTAAGAATAGCTAATTCTGAAAGTCAAGGAATTGTTTCTTTAACCAACTTTCAGTTTTACTGTACTGCATCAACATTGATTTAATTTGTTAATGATTTGTCTTGTTAAACAAACCAACCAACCAACCAACCACAGGTCCCAAATGTTGTCACTTGGACCAAGTTCCCAAACTGGTGTATAATACATAATCTAATTGCAGTTTCAACATCCCCCAGAAATTTAGTCTTAAAAAGATCAGCTAGGAATTTTTCAGTCTTCACCAATGAGTCTACCACTTAGACCATTTCCATCCCCCTAAAAAGATGAGATCATCTATGTGATGACACCTTGCTTTTCCCCCTAGAAAGCAGCCTCACCTAGAATAATCCTTTTCTTTTGCTAATAATTTCCTTGCCCCAATGACCCTCCCTCTATAAAAACCTTCCGACTCCTTGGAGCTCCTTTCTACTCACTAGTTAGGGTGCTGCCTGATTCATGAATCATTTAATAAATCTAATTATAACTTCAAATTTACTTGCTTGACTTTTGTTATTTAACAGTCTTTAAGGTAGTTATTTTTTTATACTTAGTATTTTACAGATTTGGGGCCACTGGAGATCATACAAAACTATTCTGACTTTGCAAATGGAGAAACTGAGGCCATGCTTATTAGGCTTACTAGTGAGTGCAACGAGATTTTTAGGGTCCCAATACCTTATCCCACTATCATTCTGGCTGCACGAGTAAGGAGATAACTGTTTTGAGGCATCTTGTCACTAAATCCTGGCTTTTTCTTTTCTGCGAAAACATGATGGAAATCAAATGAGGGAGGGGATGGTAGTGTTTAGACAACGCTGAACGAACAGAGGGGTAAACTGAAAAAATTGTGGAACACAGTGACTGTTTAAAAACAAAAGGAAAAGATAATTGTTTAAAAAAAAACACTGCCAAATAATTTTGATTCTGTTTCTTATATTTACTGTTTTTTTAAAGAGGTTTCAATCTTTTTTTAAAGTGATGATTCTAATAAAAATAATCCATTGACATTAAAAGATTAATTTTTAAGTTAGCAATTTGCCTAACTTCTGCTAGTCAAATTTTCTATTGTAATGATAACATTATACCAAATATTAAAGAATTAATTTTTCTTCTTACAAAATATTTAAGTTATTTATGGAATAGTCTATACAGCTATCAAGAAGTCATTATTCCAGACAAAACAAAACAAACTGTGATGTAATTATCAAGATCAAACCAGAAGTGCTTTCCATTTCTGGGGAAACTTGAATATTGGTCTTACATACTCCTAAGACTCGGTACATGTAAAAAAAATTAAGAAAATGAACAATGTATTTAGAATGAAATAGAAATACTGAGGCATCAGGCCTTGATAGTAAATTGAGACTTTGTCAGGATTTGCTGGACCAGATAGCCTTGGAGTTGTGACACTTGGTGGAAGATAAATTTGGTGTAGTACTTGAAATTCAATGCCAAGTGACTATTAAGAGGAGTAACCTGAACAATTTTGTTTTCCATACATATCAGTAAAGGTACCATAATGATGAATCAATGTTCAGAGATTTAAAATGCAGAGGGGAGACCATTCAACTGATTGATCAGAAGACATTTGATTAATAGTGGCAAAAATACAAATGAGTGATTCTCATCTGCCCATTTCTGATGTTATCCATCAGTAAATAATTCATCACGTAAATCTCTGCCTTGCTTCTTATAATGCCCTTTATATAGATTATACCATAGCAAAGGAAAGAAATAGAAGCAAGTGGTTTCAGCTGAGCCTGAAAAAGAGCAGGCCCAGATCCACAAAAGGACTCAGGGAAGGCATCACAGAGTTAGAGCGACCTCTGCTCACTAGGGGACAGGGAAAAAAAAAAAACCCTGCAGAGGAAATGCACTAAAGACAATATATTATAAAACAGGGTGAGGAAGTAGGGAAAAGGAGTTACATGAGCCCCTCCTGGCTATCAGGCACCCCCCCTTTTTATCTGGGAAGTTTAGCTGTCCTGAACTGCAGATAAGCAGCTTGCTGTAAGGCAGATTTCTGTTTCATATGGTTACAATTTATATTATGCTTCATACTCTCAATGCTCTACCCTGTGGTTTGGCCTTTTATGAACTGCCCCATTTGCTCTGGGAAGATAGCTCAAGCCAGTGCAAAAGGCTTTCTAATCTAACATGAAAATAATGAATTGTGTTTATAACTGAATTGTTAGCCAATGAAGACTGCTGAGAAATGCAGTATGGCATTTCGGTAGAGTGGTATAACATATAAAATTATATCTCCCAAAGCAAAATAGCTGATTTAATGTGCTCCATGAATGTATTCCAAAAAAGCTTGACAATTTAAAATTATATAGACATGGCAAGTGGTTTCCAGAGGTATAGTATTTGTGTTTGAAATGAATCAAAGAACCAACTTCTTTGTATAGGCAGCAAGGCCTTAATTTCTGTCTAGGTCACTGATATCCACATTGCCTATCTCCTGAACCCCAGTGATTATAATGTTCACGTGACGTTCACGTGACAGTCTAACCAAAACCATTCAAACAACTTTTTTGTTAATAGTCCTCCTCCTTCTTCATGAGCTGAGGCAGCAGTGTAAGTCCTCACTCTTCAGATTCATTTACTGGATTTTTAAATGTATCCTTTGATCCTCTGGGCTAAGTGTAACCATTCAGTCTACAGCAAAGGTAAATATGTAATTATACTTTGCTAGGTTGTGGTGCAGTAAAAAAAACATTCAACCTCAAATCAGAAGACCTGAGTTTTAGTCCTATCTCTTGCTACCTGTCTAATTTTGAATGAGTCACTTAACCGCTATGCACAGAGTCTGGTTAGCAGATAAATAAAGACAGTAGCCATTTCAGAGAGCTTTTGAGAGATTTAAATGAGATAACTAATGAAAACACTTCTTATACTCGGAGTCTCCGCTACTACTTCATGTCCTACTAGTTCAGATCTGAATTATTTTTTTCCTAGAGAGACTTCTGCCTACTGAATTTCGATCTCCATACCTGACACATGTTAACCAATTTACACACCCTACATTTCGGAACCGTTCCCCTGTTCTCTACCTGCTCTGTCACAACCTTGGTTTCGGCCCTTGTTGTCTCATGACTCCTGAAGCTTTTTAACTGGTCTCTTTGCCTTAAGTTTTCCCCTCAATAATCTGTCATACTTTGCTGCCAGGGTTACAACCTAAATGTGATTATACCACTCTCTGGCTTAAAATTATTTAATAAGAACTATTTTGACATGACACAGGGGTTACATCAGGGTCTCATAACTTGCCATGATTAGAAAAAAGCAAGGAGAGCAAAAACAAAGACTGAAAGGTCCTGCTACTAGGATTCATTACCGCCAACGAACCAAACAGATGAAGTGCCTGATAGGACTGGATGGAGGTGACAGTGACCCACCTGTGCCTTCTCTGGTGAAGCTGCATTCCTGGCTTGTCCAACCCGCCAGCCCTTCGTTCTTCCCCACTGTTATTTCTAGAGCTCTGAGAATGAAACTCTGCAAGCAGGAGAAACAGCCCCTTTTAGCAGACATACTAAAGACTAGATTCACACGTAGTCCATCTTTTCTGAGTATCAAAAATCAG